AGGAAGTAATCACAGAAGTTGAGATGAGCCTTGGTCTAGACCAGCGCCATTGATGATGGAAGCAGAGAGAAGTAGACCAAGTTAAGACACATTTTAGAAATAAAGCCCCAAAAAACTTCCAAATGGATTGACAAGAACCAGTGACCTCCCCCCCATTATCTTTGATAAAGCCTTGATCAAATAAATCGCCCACTCTCAATATCGGCCAGTGGCTTTAATTTTCTCCCCCACCAACACTTTCACTAAAGCTGGGTTGTATGCCCATCTGCTTCCATCCGTCTGGCACACTGTAACAGAGGTGCCAGGAGGCAGCAGCGGACCCAGCTGCTTAGAACTCAGAGCAGTGGTTGTGCTGCATGAGGCACAGTGGGGTAATCCACTGTGGATCACTAGCCATCCAGCCCCAACTGCAGCCAAAAGATAGAGCAGGAGTTCTTATCCTGGTGAGGTAGTTATCATCTGACAAAAAGCCAGCTCAGTAGTGCACCTCGAATAGTCTCCCTGAGACTCCACTCTGCCGGGAGGCTTTTCCTCCTGCCTTTCTCTTCTTCTGTCTCTGCCTCTTGAAACCCATCCATCCTTCCAGTTTTCACCTCCCGTAAAAACATATTCCGAACCCTGCTAGAATGCTGTTCCTCCTCCACGCTGCAGTAGCACTTACAATGTTCTAATGATGCCGACGGAGGTGAGTGCTGATCACATGCTTCTCTGCAGCCCAGCTGGTTGCGTTTGTCTCTTTCCTCCTGCAATCTGTGAATGCCCCTCTTAGTTGGCAAGTGCCTTCTAGCCCCTAGAACAGGCACTTGTTTAAACTACAAATCCTACTTTCTCCTCCAGAGAATCAAATCCAGCAAGTCTAGAGCAAAGATTGGGACACTGTATTTCTAAAGACAAGCATAGGGAAATACTCTTTTTTGAGGAATAGCTAATATTTCTGAGTAACAGGTTTTAAAATTTTAATTTCTGGTATATTTAAACCAACTGAATGACAGGAAGTTTTTAGGCATACTAATTTGCTAAAAGTTGCATTTGAGATATTTTTATACCATGGGTTTATAGTTTTTTATTGAGTTAATTCTCTATTGTAAAATGATGCTAAAAGTATTGGTGTAGATGACAGGTCTTCAAACTTTTCCTACAGAGGGCCAGATTTTAGGTTTTGTAAATCACATAGTCTCTGGGACGCAGTTGTGTGTGTGTGTGTGTGTGTGTGCATGTGTATGTGTGTGCACAGGCACATCTCATGTTTTGACAACCTTTAAAAATGTAAAAATTGGCTGGGTGTGGTGGCTCACACGTGCAATCCCAGCACTTTGGGATGCCGAGGCAGATGGATCACAAGGTCAAGAATTTGAGACCAGCCTGACCAACATGGTGAAGCCCCAATCTCTACTAAAAATACAAAAACTAGCCAGGTGCGGTGGCATGCACCTGTAATCCCAGTTACTGAAGAGACTGAGGCAGCAGAATCACTTGAACTCGGGGGAGCGGAGGTTGCAGCGAGATGAGATCACATCACTGCCTTCCAGTCTGGGCGACAGAGGAGAGAGACTCTGTCTCAAAAAAAAGAAAAAAATCATTTTCAGCCCCCAAGTCATACAAAAGCAGGGACAGACCAAATGCAATTTGCCAACTCCTGGTCTAGATTAAATATATACCTAGCTTTGTTTTTCAGACTTATTTTTGTTTTTCTTCATCTTAGCTGAGAGCCTACAAGTTGCAGTGAAGGCCTCACAGATGGGCAATGAGAGTCAGTCAGGCGAGGACAGTTGTGGAGACTCTGTGTTGACGGACACGTTCAGTTCTCAGGATGCACCAGGATCGCAGACTGCCTGTAAGTGAAAATGCAGGCCTTGGCAGTGAGCCTGAGCGCAGCCCCTGGAGCTTACAGTGGTCACATAAAATAAAGGCAGCAACTGTCTCTGTTTGAAGGGGATTTGTTATATTTTTTAAATGAGAAAAAAACTGAGAATAAATATGCTAGCCTAAAAGACTATCATATGCATATAATAATGACACTGGTGTTTCAAGTCCGAGGACCTAAAGAGTAGTCGGTGAGTTACGCTGCTCTGTTTTCCAGCTGAGTGTCGACCTTCCCCAACCCCTTCCCTGCCTCATTTCTGATATGATTTATTGAACACAGTTTTGAAAGAACTTTTTAACTTTTCTGGCTTTTTAAAAAGGAGTCCCTGCAGTCCATTAGAGAACAAGCCCTTAAACCTAATCTCACGTGCATCAACTGAGAAAACAACTCAGAAAACCAGAAATACACACACACACAGCTCCTTCTGCCTCCCTCCTCTCTCTCTCTCTCTCTCTCTCTCTCTCTCTCTCTCTCTCTCTCCTTTTTCTCTCTCTCACACACACAGTTTGGTGGTATGGTTAAAGCAGAAGTGCCAGAAAATTCTTGCTCTGTGCCATCCTACACTTTAGTTCATGTCAGAATTCATTTATTAAAACACTGTTTCAGTACCTTTGAAATATAAAAAAAAAAATAGAATGTAGAGATTTGGTTTAGGTAATTTCCCAAAACCTAGCTCTCCTGTCATATGTACAGTTGTTGGCTGCTTAGTTCCATAGAAGTCTCTAAGATAAGAGCATAAAGAGTGTATTTTTCATACTGTACAGGTAGTAACAACCTTACTTCCACAAGGTCTTATGTGTATGAGACAAGTGGATACAGTGTCTTTAGTAGTTAGAGATTGGAAGATTAAATCGAACTCAGAACTTGTTTAGCAACATCCCTTGATTAAGATATATAGATGCAGTATAACATTTTAATTCTACACTTCTTTTTTCCTTTTTTAAACACCAGTACCACTAATTATTTTCCTCTCTCAAGTTCTGCTTTATCTAATCCTGGGTTTCTATTTTCAGAATGCACACATATGTTTTTCATTTTGACACAGCCCAGATTCATCAGGGGAGTTGTACTGCCCTGGGTGATTTCCTTTTAAAAGAAGAACCTCATTATGCCATTGAGGAGGCTCTGTCTAAAAATAAGCGCGGGGATCTGCTGCTCTCAGCCTCACCCCAGGGACAGCTGGAGAGGCTCCGCTCAGCTCTGCAGCTGCCCAAGCCCATAGCCGTGCCTCCCCTCCCCGCAGGCCAGGCAATGAAGGTCTCCCTGTCTGTATTCACATATGTCCTGATTAGGGAGAGTTTCAAAGGGACACCTGTGGCATTTGCTAGAATCATTGAGAGGCTCTTTAGAGAAGTCTAATGCCAGGAGTCAGGTAGAGGAAGTACAGAAGCAGGCTGGTGGGGTCCTGTACCCCAAGGCCTCTTCAGTTCTGGATTAGACTGGTATATGGTGCTGTGAGAGTCTCATTCTCTTTATAAAGTTGTTAAAGGCACAAGGTTATCCCTGAATGAAGGTCTACATCTGTAACTGAATGGGTGGTTCTGCAAGTGACTTTGAGAACTGAGCTCTTCTGAATCAGGCTCATGTCAGTCTGCGGTTATTAGCCAAGCAGAGCCCTCTACTTTCAGACTTCCATAAACATGATGAGTATCATCTGCTTCTAGGGAAGTTCTGTCCACTGGAGACCCTCTCGCCCACCCTGAAATTGGATATGGGAACAGGGACCTGATCTGTATTTCATTCTTCTGCCTTGTCATCAGCTGCTTCCCCATTGCTTTTCCTAATTTCTATGAGGGAGTGAGAAACAGAATGGCAAATTCTTTATTGATGCCTTTGGCCACTCTTTAAGAGTTAGGGATAGTACTCAATAGCAGAACCATTTTTCCAATGACAGAGAAACCTACAAAATGCCCCTTCATTATAAGTGAACAAATGCTGATCAGCGTGAACAAAATAGACTTGTTTTCAGGTGATCTCATTTGAAGCAGTTTCTGTTTAGACAAAAACTTCTTTGTATTAGAAGAGGCCTTTGGAATCCTAGAGAACTCTCATTTCCCAAAGACATAAGTGTTTCTATTAATTTAAAGAAAAAAGCATTTCCTCTATTAGAAAAAAAGTTTCAAGGTGACACAATAAGAAATTATACAAACAGTGTTACAAAGTGAATATTGATTTTGTCAGAGTCCTGATTCGACATGGTTCTAATAAACTAGTGTGTTTGGGGCTTTGAAAATTCTAGTTTTAATCAGTGCAAGGTGGGCACAGTTTAACGAAGTTCACACAGGTAAAGAAATAAACAAAATCCTGCCAACAAAGATATAATGGATGAAGTGAAATCTGTACTTGGTACTTAAAAATATTTCTGGACTAGTTTCTATATTTTAATAGGTTACACATATAGTATTTGTAAATTTAAAGCATAGACAAGACGTGAGAAAAAACACATTTGGAAATTGTTAAAAAGTAAGTTATTCAGAGATAGGGATAGGTTCTTGGTTTGTATGACTGAGATCTTGAAGGATTAGCCATCTCCACCTTCCTAGAAAGATGTCTTCCTCCTGCTTTGGGCTCCTGCTTCCTTCTAAACCTTGTTTATCGTTCTGCTGCTCTTGCACTGGTCACAGGGGAGACTTTTTACAGACTTGAGGCTGCCAAGAGACCTTGCTTTTGTTCTACAGCACCTGTTTTAAATTTCACCCTTCCTAGGAGGCTTTTCCTATTCAGTGAGAGTGAGATGTAGAATCTACCCTCGGTACCACAAACAACACACGGACACTTCAGCGCAACAAAGAAAAGTACAAAGACGGCGATAATCTGTGCCGTTTATCAGTGGCTGTCTGTTAGCATGTAAGCCCCATGTGGGCAGGGGCGGCGTGCATTGCTCCATGCTCATGCAAGCACCTCATCTAAGAACACTCCATATGTGTTATTTTGTGACGTTTCTTGTTTTGAAACGTGTTGGCCATGCACAGAAGAACCCAGTTGGCTGGCTGATGTTTGATGCTGTCCTTTTTGTTTCTGTCTTGATGGTGTGCTTCCAGCACTAGTCACAGGAGGGAGAGAAGGAAGAGGCTGTTCGGATGTGGATCCCGGGATCCAGGGTGTGGTAACCGACTTGGCCGTCTCTGATGCAGGGGAGAAGGTATTGTGAACTGATTTGTTAGTCAGCGGCAGCGGTTACTGTAGATAATAAAATAATCTCAGGTTCCGGTCTGTCACAGCAGTGGGTGGGACAAAGGTGCTTTTCTGAATTGTTCTCGATTGATTTAAATATTCATATTTAAACTTTCTAACTGATTTCTTCTTCAAATGTGCTTGCGCTTCTAATGTCATGTAGGTGTAAACAAAGCAATGATGGAAAAGTGATTAAAAAGATTAAAAACTCTCCTGTGTATATGTGTGTCTGTGCTCTCTGACTTCTGGTCTTCCTGCCCTGCAAACCTTTGCTTCTCACCCACGATGTTTGGCAGCTCTGGCACCCGTGGCCCTTTTGCAACCAGATGGCACCAAAGTAATTGAAACACCTTTTTCTTTGGACTATTCTGGCTTCTCCCACCTTCCTTGACCCTCCTCTCCTTGCAGAGTTGATTTCTTGTCATCACCCACATTTCACCTACTTTTTTGTGGTCAACTTTTAATTAATCTGACCAGTTTTTGGTTGGGGCACAGCGATTCTAAACGCTTCTTTCTTGACTTACTGCTATATACGTCGGTGTTAACTCTCTCTTTAAGAATTAAATACGTAAAACTTCTTGTTAACATCCACTGAAAGAGATGTAGAAATAGGGAAGGAATAAAATATGATTCCGGGAGGTGGCTAGTTGGCCTCTTCTGACTTATCTGGGGCTCCAAGAGTTTAGCTTCATCTAAAATTAAATTAGATACATTACTAGGTGCCAATATGTGTCAATGTGAAAAAATGGCAAATATCAGATCTTCTCTTACATATACAACATATTTTACATATTATATACTTTTTGTATATATTACATAGGACTGAGAAAGCAAGTCAAGGATTTTTTAAAATCCAGAGAAAAGACAGCTGTGATTAAGTGTTCTTTTTTAAACTTCACAGGCCAAAATGAGCATAAGAATGTAATATTTTGCTCTACTCCTTCTGATTGTAAGCTTTCAAAAATATTGCTTCTTAAAATGTTTCTGCTTTTCATCCTTTTCAGTGAAGACTTCACTTTTAAGTGTGAAGTTTGTGGTGTCCAACTGTGTTCATAGAAAAGAAAAAGTGAATTGGTCAGTAATAGTTTAATCTTGAATGGAAAGTTGAGTGGCTCCTACCCCTAAAGTCTCCCTCTCCTATTCCATTTTAGTTACAGGTAGATAAGTGAGGTTAAGTGTCCAGGTTCTTCTTTGGATTAAGCTATCTGCAAAATTCTGCTCTTAATAAACCATTTTGAAAAAATAATAAATTAAGAAACCCCGGTAAAGGGAAGGATCACTTGAAACCAAACCTTTAAAAGGTGTGTAATGGCTATTTTGTCATTAGCTTCCGCTGAAAGGTAAGGTTAGAACAAATTTCTGAAAGAATTTTTTAAAAAATGAAATCTAATCTGAGTGCAGAAATATTGGAGAAATCACCAACTGCAGTTTTAAATATGTACCACAAGGTGGTGGAACAACTCCATTAAAAACGTGAAATTTCCTGTCTTGAGTCAAACCTAGTGGCTTTTGGATATAAGTAACCACAGGTAGCACAGTCCAACTCATTTCTGAGGTTCTAATTTTTATAGACTATAAAATTTCTGTGCCATATGGTCTTACTACAGAAGCGGTAGCGTGTGGATGGGCCAAGGCAGAGCCAGAGGAGCAGCGAGAATGCCAACACTCCCTGTGGGGTGGGAGTTTTTAGAGCCTGTTCTCTCCAATAGGGGTGGGCTCAGGTCTAATGCCTTAAGGTTTCTTCTCCTTTTTCAGCTTCTGTCCTTTCTCTATCAGAGGTGCTGCTTAGGAGTGAAATCTTTAATTGCCAGTCCAGGGGAAGCACAGGTCTGGCTAGCTCATCATGGCATCAGCCTAAACTAATTGAATGTAACAAGTTCAAACTTAACTGAGAACATGACCATGGCTGGCTGCTTTTTATGGCTTAAAATTAGAGGTGCCAGATGAAAGCAAGCAGCATACAGGAGACTGTAGGCCCTTGAGGACAGGGCATCTGATGGTCTCGCATAGCATAAGGTGTGGAGTTCAGAGTGGGTGATCGATATTTATTTATTGAATGGTGTGCCATCAAGTTCGACTTAGAGTCATTCACTTGTTGAGTGTTTATGCTATGTCAAGCACCATTCTTATAATATGGAGTACACAGATAAAGTCTTGCTACTCACTGGTTTGCATCCTAGGGAGAGAAGGCAGACAAGAAATGAATAACAGATGTTCAATTTTGGCGACTGCAAACCATCACTATCCACATGTGCCTTGAATGTGTGCCGTGAAAGAGACAAAGAACGAGGCGTGAACCCTGTCCGTAAAGAACAGATGGTCTGCTGTGGCACGTCCGTGGCCTCTGCTGCTAGTACTTCTACTAAGGCAGCCCCTGGTCTGGTGGTCTCTGACTGTGGTAGGGTCTAGAACAGCCCAGCTCGGCGCTCTCCTGTGGGCAAGGTCTGAGACTGGTTTCTTTTCCCAGCTGCTGTATATTTTGATATCGTGAATTGCAGACACTGAGAAAAGGAGTCAAGGCCAGACATGATATTCTTTAACTTCCAGTCTGGCCTCTAGAATATAAGAGGTCAGGCTGGCCCAAAACACAACTCAATCTGGGCACAGAGAACTTAATTCACATTGTGGTTTGCACAAGGTAAATTCCATCACTCGAAGTTTCAGGCCTTCCTTACTGTCATCCCCTGTTGTTTTAAGGAGTGATTGGGTGAAAATCGCCATGCATCTCAAACACCAACTTTGCAGGAAGGACGCTCTCCTTGTCAAGTGTTCGTTTAATTCTATGGGCTTTTATTTCTGGGAGGAAATCGAGTCAGTATAGATGAGGTAATCAAGTTTAGAGACAGCAAAGTGATTTACCCAAGGTTGTACATTTTGGGACACTACAGGGCAGCTTTTCAAAAGTAGAATGGTTATTCATTTTCCTGTTTTTTGTGTATTTTAGGAGGAATGTAGAAATATTACAGGTTCTTCACAGTCAGAGGTGAGCTGCACATACCTTAAATGTATACCCAGCCTTTATTTGTGGATAATGAAAGCTTTTTCAAGACTTTGACATTTACAATTTTGTTTTTCAGATTGTACAAGCCATACAGAATTTAACCCGTCTCCTATACAGCCTTCAGGTAACTACCTCCTCTAATCTTTGACCTTGTGAATGTTTCTCCTAATGCAACTCACTTTGATGATTCCCAGATTTTAAAAATGCGAACACGTGAGAGGTAGGGAATGCTCTTAAAGGAATGCCAACCTTCTAAGTGTGATGTTTGGACTCACATGGTTTTGTAATCAGAGGCAACACCATCACTACATTTTATGCCATTCTTCTCTGAAATCATAAAACAGTTCATATGCTTAAAAAATATTGATAAATATGGCCTGACATTTACAACGAAACTCGTAGGTAAGTATAATGTGACTTCACATGTTCTGGTGAAAACTTAAATTCACACCTAAAGTTTTTTTACTTCTCCATGTGGCCATCAGCCTTTAGAGCAGTTAAGTAATTCATGTGTTGCTTTACTCTTTTGTTTATTCATCCACTCAACATTTATTAATTTACTAATGTTGAGGGGTTGAATACACAGTGCCTGTCTCTGGGCTGGCGATGCTGAGGGCTAAGCACACAAAGGCAAATGAGCCACACAGTCTGCCCTCAAATGGCTTACTATCTTTCAAGGAAAAACAGACATAAAAATCATGCTTGCTTTTAGGATTAAATGGTTGGATGATCCCTTAGGCCAGGGGTCCCCAAACCCCAGGGTGCAGAGTAGTACCTGTCTGGGCTAAACAGCAGGAGGTGAGCCAGGGACAAGCAAGCAGTACTGCCTGAGCTCCGCCTCCTGTCAGATCAGTGGTGGCGTTAGATTCTCATAGGAACGTGAACCCTATTGTGAACTGCATGTGCAACCTAGGGATCTAGGTCGCCTTCTCCTTATGAGAACCTGATGCCTGATGATCTGAGGTGGTACAGTTTCATCCTGAAACCATTCTCACCCCACCCCACCCCACCCCATCCATTAAAAAAAAAAAAAAGTCTATCTTCCATAAAACCCGTCCCTGCTGCCAAAAAGGTTGGAGGTCACTACCTTAGGCCGTGACAAGAAAGAGGCTCAGTGTGCCCGACTGCTTCATTCACTCATTAAAATGTATTTTAAAATGATATGCATGCAATGTTTGGATTGTTGAAAAATTTGTAGAAAAATTTGAGAATACAAGTAATTGAAAAAAATGACTTCTGATTCTACAAAGAATTAAAATTATCATGTTGGTGTACAAGGCTTCCAGATTTTAGAGTTGTTTTCTGTGCACTCTTCTATAATATGTAACTTTCTCTATCATCAACTATTATTCTGTAGCATACTTTTTAATGACTGGATATTAAATTCAAGGCTAAGGGGTTTAATTTTTCAATCCTTTATTGTTTGCACTTTTGTATTACTAACAACATTGTAGAGGACATCCTTGTGTACAAATCTGTTTGAACGTATCTATTTCCTTAGGATAAATAAGAATTTTTTTTTTTTAGGTTTTCAATAGATGTTGCTAAAATAATCAAATCAACCAACCTTCTCTCTTTTTCTCTTTTATTTGAAGATGGATTAGGGTATCTGATTATTTGTACTTCTTTGATTACTACTGAGACAAAACATTTCCCCCCCACACACTGGATTATTATTCATTCATGCTTCATATCTTGTTGAATTTAAAAGAAAATAAAAGGAAGCCCAGGTTTTCGCCGGAAAATATAAAGCCATGCTGCATTTGATGTTTTGTTATTTAGACTTCGACTCCATCAAGACTTTCGCTTATGGCCTTTAATTCTTGCTCTAGGGCCAACATCTAAATTGTTAAAGCTTTGGATTACATTTAAATATATGACAGTGCTAGTCTTACTTATTTGTCTATGCATGTTTATATATTCTTCCATAGGAGCTTTTATTTTTTACTTACTGTTTTGAGACAGGGCCTGGCTCTGTTACCCAGGCTGGAGTGCAGTGGCACAATCTCAGCTCACTGCAATCTCTGCCTTCTGGGCTGAAGCCATCCTCCCACCTCAGCCTCCCAAATAGCTGAGACTACAGGCATGTGCCACCAAGGCTGGTGAGTTTTTCTATTTTTAGTAGAGACAGGGTTTCACCATTCGAGGCTGGTCTCGAACTCCTGGGCTCAAAGTGTTCTACCTGCCTTGGCCTTCCAATGTTCTGGTATTGTAGGCATGAGCCACTGCGCCGAGTACCACAAGTTTTTAAATCACTGTCAAGTTTCTTATTGCTTGTGCCAACACCATTAAATTAAAATTTCATTATATCTATGAATTAAATTGGAGAGAAGCAACACGTTTACCATAATCACTTACGTGTCTTATGTAAGATCATTGATCAGTCATCTCTTATTTTATGATTTGCTGGAGAGCTTTGTAATTGTCTTCATATAGTATGATAGATGTGTGTATATATATATATTTATATAAATATATATATATATACATTTTTTTCACGAAGTTTATTCATATGTCTTTTTGCTGCTATTGTGAATAAAATATTTTTTTCATTCTGTGTCCCCAGTGGTTATTGCTAATATAAAAAAAGATACTGATTTTGGGGTATTTGTATTGTAACTGGCCAACTCATTGAACTTTATTTTTTATTTTAATAGTTTTTCAATTTATTTTTTGAAATATTTCAGGTAGAAAATAAAAATTTGAAGATAATGATATTATGGCTATTCATCAATAATTATATGAATTTCATTTTTTTGGCTTACTGCGTTGGCTAGGACTTTTGAAAATGTGTTAAATAACAGTGGTAATAGCAAGCTCCTTATCTTGTTGAAGATTTAGTGAGAATGCCTTCAGCGTTGTACATTAGATGTGCAGTTCTGGGGTAGATGTTTTTAGAAATCGATTTATCATGTAAGACAAAAAATCTTTCTTTTAAATGTCAGCTGAGAAGGGATACAGTTTGAGCACCAGCCATTAACTTGGGGGATGAGAACATTGAACATCTGGCTTGTTTGGCCTGATGAAAACACTCACAATGTCT